CCCCCTGCGCCCGGCCGGAGGGCGGGGCTCGCGCAGTGGCGTTGGGGCTACGTCACCGGCGCGTGCGCTCTCTGCGCGCAGAGGACGGCCCGAGCGGAACGTTACCCGCGCGGCGTCCTGGTGTCCTTGGAGACGGAACCCGGTCCCGGCTGCTGCGAGAGGCCACGACGACAGCGGGGGCCCTGAAAAAGCCAAGATGCCGTCGAAGGAAAAGGACAAAAAGAAAGGCAAGAGCAAAGACAAAGGCAAAGATAAAGACAAGAAGAAGAAGTAAGGAGAAGCACCCTGGGGTCCCTGCTCCCTGCTGGATGACTGGCACCCTCCCGCTGGTCCTCCTGGACCCTTCTCTCTCTCACTCTTCTCTTCCTGCTTCAGAAAAGGACAGCTCCCATTGTTCAGAAATTTCCAAAATGCATGCCAAGCCATACTGTTTCGATTAAGACAAGAGTATGAGATTTGGGACCCAGAAGTTATTTAGACACAGCCTCTGCCTATGTGTAATGCACTAACGAGGAGACAGATAGCCCTCAAAGAATAGAAGTAACACAGGATAGAATGAAATAGGTGCTAGGCAAGAACACAGAACTGAGAATGAGGAGAAAGAGTTCTGACTCTGGAAATAAAAGTCAGGATAACATGTCTTGGGATGTTGGAGGTCCTCTAGACCTGTGCTGTCCAATAGAGTGGTCACTGGTCATGTGTGGCTATTAAATTAAAATTAGTTAAAATTTAAAATTCAGATCCTTATTTGTACTAGCCATATTACGTGTACTCAATAGGCGCTTGTGCCTAGTGGTGACTGTATTGGACAGCTCAGATATAGAGCATTTTCATCATCGCAGGAAGTTCTATTGGACAGCACTGCTCTAGATTAGTGATTCTCAGGCTGGGACGATTTTGGCTTCCAGAAGACATATGTCAACATCTGGAGACATTTTTGGGTGTCACATCTGGGGATGTGCGCTACTGGCATCTAGTGACTAGAGACCAAGGATGCTGTTAAATATCCTGCAGTGCACAAGACAACCAAAGATCATGTGGTTCAGAATATCAGCAGTGCCAGGGTTGGGAAAACCTGCTCAAGACTTTAAGCGTCTCTGGAATAGGCACTGAGCATTATTCACCACATTTCCAGCACCTAGCAGAGAGCCTGGATCATAGCAGATGCTTAATATTTGTTAAATAAATTAAGGTGTCTGCTTGTATATGCTTCAACTTGGATCTTTTTTTCCCCCGAGAACTGTGCTCTGGGTTTGTTGCTTTATGCGTGTAGCCTGTGAAATTTCTGCTGTGTGGTTGAGATCATCTTGAATATCCAAAGGCTCTCTGGGTGATTGAAGTAGCTCCTTGGGCTTTTTCAGGGACCCTTTTGGTTCAAAGGAAAACCTAAAGGAGTTGACCAAATTGGGTTATTCAGGTTTCCCCAAACTGATAAGAATTTCTGAACTGAGTAGTATTGTTCTAGTACTAAACCTTTGCAGGCTTGGAGTTGCTGCTAGATTGCCACTGAACCTATTGAATGACCCTAGTGGTTCCTAGACGCATTGGAATCATACATGGTGTCCAACAACACAGTATGTGGGACCGCAAGGGAATCTCCTAAACTTGTAAAGTTTATAAAATAACTTGTTTAAGAGAGTAATGCATGCTCATTACAGAAAGTGTAAGAAACATGGAAAGTCAAAGGAGAAAAAAAAATCACCTGTAATCCCATCATCCAAAGATAACCACTGCTATCATTTTGGAATATTCTTTTTCTTCTTTATAAAATGATAGTCCAATATACAGATTTATATTTGTAGCTCCCCTACTCCAGTGTATTATTATAAATATTCTTCTACAGTGTGATTTAAGAAAAAATTTTTTTAGGCTAACTAGTCTGGCATTTTTATTTTAATTCAAGTATAGTCAGTTACAATGTGTCAATTTCTGGTGAACAGCAGAGTGTCCCAGTTATACGTATACATACATGTATTTATTTTCATATTCTTTTTCATTAAAGGTTATTACAAGATATTGAAAATAGTTCCCTGTGTTATACAGAAGAAACTTGTTTTTTTAAAATCTATTTTTATATATAGTGGCTAACATTTGCAAATCTTAAACTCCCAAATTTATCCCTTCCCACCCTGTTTCCCTGGCAACGTAAGATTGTTTACTATGTCTGTGAATTAGTTTCTGTTTTGTAAATGAGTTCATAGTGTCTTTTTTTTTTTAAGATTCCACATATGAGTGATATATGGTATTTTTCTTTCTCTTTCTGGCTTACTGAACTTAGAATTACCATCTCCAGGTCCATCCATGTTGCTGCAAATGGCATTATTTTATTCTTTTTTATGGTTGAGTTAGTCTAGCATTTTTTAAAAATGCCAAGGGCTTATCATTCCTGGAACTCACTGGCATATGTTTTCTATTTTTGACCATGCATCTACAGTGAGAGAGGGTAACAGACCTTTTATTCCTTGAATTTTCCATGACTCATAGTTTGAGAAATCCTGCTTTGTTTCTGCAATCAGTATTAGTGGTCTTCCTATGACAAATACTATCCAATTTCTTGCATCAGTTACTCTGAGCAGCTTAGACCTGATACTTCCAGAGAGAAACTGAATTTTTGTAGCAAGGCAGTCTGTCATTAATGCCTAAATCATGCTGGAAAGGGAGATCAACAGCTATAACCGACTGAGGGGTTGGGGATGGAGCTAGCTTTAATTTGAAGAGAAGAAAAGGTGAGAATGGGACTGGAAAGGAATCAAGAACCAGGAGTTAGGAGGTGGGATGGAGAGTGACAGTATAGAAAGGTCCACACATACGAATGTGTGAAAATATCTAGAATTCAAATATAGGTGAGGTCTTATTTATTATCTAAATATGTATATACCCAGTGCCTGCCATACATAGGGGATAGTGTTTTGTTAATGCTCATATAATAAATCTTTATTTCGGAAAATCTCCCCTTTTATCATTTTAATGTTTAAAACCGTCATTATTTTAAAATTTCCTCTCCACTTCTATATAAATGATTATGGTTTCTTTCCCTGCCATCCTTGAAGCCTGGTGTATTGTGGCAAAACAACCTAAAACAAAAACAAAACTGGGATTAGGGGTGAATGGAAGATTACAGAAGTGTGGATTTAAAATTAGTTACATTAAAATACATCATCATGCAGAACGGGAACTAAGGTAATGAATTTGCAGTGGAGAGAACCAAGATCTAAGACTGAGTGAGTAGGCACAGAAAAGACTGCAAATATGAGAGAATCAAAGAAGTGAATGAAAAGATGCGAAAGCTTTATCAAATGAATTTGACTTATCATGCCTGTTTGTTTTTCCAGTCCTTTAGAGTTATGCGTCACAGCTCCCCTCTTTCAGGAAGAGGCACTTAACTCTATTGTCAAGTAAATATTTCTTATTAACTCATTCATACGATAGTATTTGCTCATATGAGCCAGGCAAATACCAAGCAAAACAAATAATAATAAAGAGAAAGGTGTAATACTAATATAATAGAGAAATAGTTATATGCTGTCAATGTCCCCTTCCCGTACAGGAAGCCAGTAAAAGTTGAGGAATCTGCCGTGGACAGAGCCAAGGCCAATGCGGCCCTTTGGGAGGCCAGGCTGGAAGTCACAGAACTCTCTAGGATTGAGTATCGTGATACTTCCCGGAGACTGGCAAAAAGTAACGAGAACTTAAAGAAACAGCAGTATAGAATGGAGAGAGACACAATGTCTGTATTAAGCTACCTGAAGAAGCAGGATCAGGAGAAAGATAATCTGGTAGGTAGGTAGAAACCTTCCTGAGCCTTAGTAACTACCTCTGTGGTTATATTGGTGTGGTTATATATTTCAAGGATTTCAATTCCTTGAAATCTCATCACATAGTTAAGGCACTTCAATTAACCTTAACTCTCCTTGAAGCAACATGTTATTTCAGAATGGCTTTACTGTCAAAATTGGCTCTTTTTTTTGTTTACAGTCCTTGTCCCATGTTTTCTTGACTGAAACAAAGATTGATGATCCTAAGGGAACATTATGATCAACTTATTTTAAGAACAAGAGCATGGTATAAGATCTATATATTCTTTTGATATTGACAACTATTTAAGTTTTAATGATTTGTATCATATCAGCAGTTCACTGATAATCCATGGTCTCATGATTATGAACCCAGGAAGCTGATTCTCTTCTTTTTGACCTGTTGAGTCTTGAATTTATCTTATTGTACCTTGTTGAAATGTTGGGAGTAGAGCTATTGTTTTAGGTCTGGGAAAAAAAGGGAAGGGAACTAACATTTTGGGGCTCCTGTTTTGTGCCCAGCACTATGCTAGGTAATATTTACCTCTGCTATCTCATTTTGTCCTTTTAATAACCCATGTAGCTACAAATTGTCATTCCCGTTTTACAGATAAAGAAATTGACTCTCTCACAGGACAGGTATTTGCCCAAAATCTCACAGCTCGCAGGTATTAACGTGGAATTTAGGTGTGACTTAAATTCTTCTCTTTCCCATCTGCCTCTGTGAGCCCTATGAAGACCCAAGAAAATTTCCACCATGCTTCATTCCTATGTATGTTTTTGTATTTTTATTATTTATGTAGTATATATCCACACATAATACATATTATAGTCCTGTTTTGTTACGGAAACGACAGGCCAGCCAAGAAACAAGCACCACTCGGAGTGTTGGAGTACTCAAATGTATTACGCTGGTGGGCTCAGAGGGGCTTCTGCTCCGAAGCTCTGAGCACCTCCAAGACGTGCGCATGAGGTTTTATAGGGTAAAGTACAAGCTTGGGATATTTGGCCAATAGGCATGGAACAGCTTTAGCAGCATCATTATCACAAAAGTGGAGGCAGGGAGGCAGCAAACCAACATTCCAAAGCCAGATATATCTCTTTGAAAATCCAGCTGGCTAGCAAAAAAAACATGAACAGCAAACCAACACTAATTAACTTAGATTTACAAGTTAGTCCAGCAGAACTCAGATCAGTATTCCGATACTTAGATTTGTGAGTTATCCTGTTAGCCCAGCCCAGCCTCTCCTTCACATTGCTAGACTTGTGAGTTATCTTGTTAGACCAGCCCAGCTTTTCCTTCACAGTTTTATATTTTACGTTAGTAGTGTCATATTGTATATATCTTTTGCAACTTGTTTTTTAATACAACGTTATTTTTTGTGGTATATTTATAAAAGTCACATGATTCAGTTTATTTTACAAAAATTTATAATGAGCATGCTTTATTTTTTTCATTCATTCTTAGCTACCTTATAATATTCCATCAAATAAATAAACCAAAATGTTGTTCACATAACCCTGTGGATTAATCAGACTCCATTTTTTCATTATTACAAGTAGACCTTCAGTAAATATTCTTGGGTATGTCTGCTTGTGCCCATGTTTGAGAGTTTCTCTAGAGTAGACACTTAGAAGTTAAATTACTGTATTATGAGGTATGCATAGTTTCAACCTCACAAGGGTTTAAATTGAAGTCCAAAGGGGTATACCAGTCTATACTGTCACAAGCAATGTATTACAGTGAGTTCCTGTTTGTCTACATTTCTGTGAAAACTTGATATCGTACTTAGTAACTTTTGCTCAGTTTTATGGGTGGAAATTGGAAGGCAGCTATGCTTACCACTATACCACCAACACTGCACTATGGGTGGAAATTGGTATGTGGTTTTAATTTGTATTTTCCTGATTATTAGTCACTTGAGCATCTTTTATATGTTCCTTCACCCATTTTTAAAATTTTTTTAAACGTTTGCTTCAGTACACATATTGGAGTGATGCAAAGCATGGCTTCTACGTAAGGATGACATGCAAATTCATGAATCATTCCATAATTTGTTTCAAATGCCACATTTTCGAGGAGACCCTTCCTCACTACCCTCTTTAAAATTAAAACCATCTCCCTTGTCTTATTTTCTTCATAATATTTATTAACTTCTGTCATACTATATGCATGTTACTTATGTATTTGTTTATTTTCTCTTCTCCTGATTAGAATGAAACCTCATAGAAGTAAAGAATTTGGGAGCCTTTTTAAATTGTTGAATGTTATATCTCCAGCACCTTATTATGGGCTTGGCACATAGTAGGCACTCATTAAAATATTTCTGCATACATGAATGAGTGACTTGTGACTGCACAGATGCTTTGAAAAAGTTAATAGCAATCAAAACAAGTACAAGATGATATTGGAAGCATATTAGAGAAATCAGACAACTGAACATTAGTGTGGATTTTCTGTGTCTTATTAAATAAAGTGTAATTTTTTGTGCATTTTTTAACCTTCTTTCCAAGGCAACTGCCATTTTAAAAATTACTCTGAATAGTAGGCATTATCAAAATTGTCTGCTATAAAATATTATTCTAAAGTAAGCCTTTAGTCCAATTATACAAATAATTTTCAAGATTCATTACATAGAAGCTTTGTGGTTTGCATTAGCTAATTGATACTGGACTATACTTATTGCTATCACTTGTATTTCCAGATTTTCATCTGCCTTTGTGTATCAAAGGCCAGCATCTGGCTGTAGCAAAAACATAATTTTCTCACAATCATGGATACCCATTAAAACCAAAGAAACTACTTTGGAAGGAAGAAATAAAATAGATTCAATATACCCTGGTTAACTAGCTCTCTTATAGTTTTTTTACGCATTATACTATATCCTAGAAATGCATTATTTACTTAAACTTTATTTAAACTGTTTATAGTCTTCATGTTAATTATAGAAATATTAGAAATGAAATGTGGGGGGTGGGTATAGCTCAGTAGTAGAGCACATGCTTAGCATGCAGGAGGTCCTGGATTCAATCCCCAGTATCTCCATTTAAAAAAAAAATGAAGTGTGTTTTAAAAATTATTATATCTTGGACAAAATTAGGAGATTTTCCTTAAGAGTGGGTTTTTGTGTTTAAGATTTTGTTCAACCAACACAAAATAAATCTCATATTTTATACCTGTCCTACATGACTTAGGGCTGTCTCAATTTATTTAAAAATTGTTTTGGTTTCTTTAAACTATTCTAAGATTATTTACAACAATATTTCACTTCTATATCTCAGATTCTATAACCATATCAAAGAGTTTTTAGTTTAAAAAGCTACTCAGGCTTCCTACAAAAACATACCTGTATCCTTTGAGAAATTATTGATTTTAAGACTGGAGCAGGGAGAGTAAAAGATGAACTTAGACTATCTTATTGTGCCAGTAAGAAAGTAAAAATAATTAAAGGACACTGGAGGTATCTTGAAGGGACTCCCACTGGCCAGATCTGGGACAATCAGAATAAAGAATGACAGTAATAGATTATAACTCATTGAATAAAATAAGTCCATGAGTGCTTACAACTACTAGATAAATATATAGATTAATAAATAAGGGAGAAGGGAAAGCCTTTCCTTACAGTGGAATGCAGTAAATTATTAAATTTCCAAAGAATGATGAAATTAGAAAAATCACCATTTGGCATCAGAATTGTAATTGATTCAGTCAAGAATCCACGGTGGATGCCAAAACAAGTGGGTGAAAGTTTGATGAGCAGAAGGATATTTGCATAAACTCAAACTATCTTCCCACAGATTACTTAATAATTTCAAAAGGCAAAATAGTAACTTTTAAGTGGAGAAACCTGGCAGACACAATCTTAACCAGTTGATTACAATGAACACCAATCACCTCATGGCATGGTGCAGTGAAAAGGATATTTCATCACCTAGGCAGTGTATGCTTGCCAAAAAGGCATAAACTCAATCATCTCATGAAGAAACATCAGACAAACTGAAACCTGGCCAGTAGTCTTCCAAAATGTTGATATCATAAAAGAAACTGCTCAAGATTAAAGAGACTAGGATATATGAAAACTAAGTATAATGCACAATCAGGGATTATATCCTGGATAAGAAAAAGAAGTTACAATGAAAGGACACCATTGGGACAATTGGTGGAAAAATTTAAATATGTACTATAGATTAAATAATAGTATTATATTTATGTTAAATGTCCTGATTTTGATCATTGTACTATGATCAAACTCTTTTAAGAGATTGTCCTTTTTCTTAGGAAATACCTACTGAAATATTCAGGGGCAAAGGAATATGATGTCTTAAGCTTATTCTCACATGGTCCAGAAAAAACAATTTAAAATATCTATCACCTGTGTGCATGAAAATATTTATGTATTTAGATAGACCTATCATATAAGGAAAGCAAATGTGGCAAAATTGGATGTAGTCTATATAGGAATTCTTTGTACTCTTCTTGAAACTTTTCTTTAAAAATTTACTCATTTAAGAGAAATACAAATCAAAACTCTAAATTAATCACTTCACACCCATTAAGATGACTACTATCAGAAAAACAAAAAATAATAAGTGTTGGTGGGGATGCAGAGAAATAGGAATCCTTGTGCACTGTTGATGGGAATGTAAAATGGTGCAACCAATATGGAAAACAGTACAGAGGTTCCTCAAAAAATTAAAGGTAGAATTTCATATGCTCCAACAATCTCACTATTGGGTAGATTTCCAAAAGAATTTAATGCAGGATCTTGAAGAGATAATTGCACATCCATGTTCTCGAAACGTTATTCACATAGTCAAAAGGTGGAAACAACCCAAATGTCTGTTGACAGATGAATGAATAAAGAACATGTGGTATATACATACAATGTCATATTACACAGCCTTAAGAAAGAAGGAAATCCTGTCATGTGCTATAACATGGATGAACATTAGGGACATTATGCTAAGTAAAATAAGCTTGTTACAAAAGGCCAAATACTGTGTGATTCCACTCATGTGAAGTATCTGTGGCCAGGGAATGTTAACTGTTCCAGTAAACAAAGAATGTTGCCCAAGATTCTAGCTCTACAAAGATCAAGCCATCAGCCACTGCAGTGGCACTACCTCTGCCTGGACTGCCTCCCCCATGGTGTGTCCTGAGGGGAATTCAGGATGGAAAAAAACAGGATACTGGCCCTAAAGAGTTAGGATGCATCTAAGGAATAATTTCAATGAACCCACATCTTCCCATACATAGAAAAGCACTAAAATCATTAACCTGAGTGTCTGTTCCTTGTGACTAGTCATAATCTTTTGGTGTTTAACTACATGTTTTTTCCCAGGAAAAAAGTCCTAAATATCTTGTCTCCTCCCTTACCTCTTCTGAGCAGTTACTCAGGGCTATCTGAGAGGCTGTTTCCGGGATATAGCCCTCAGTTAAGATCCTGGAATAAACTTAATTTGCAACTTTTAGGTTGTGCAGTTTTTCTTCAGTAGATGTATCTGAAGTAGTCAAAATCATAGAAACAATGTAGAAAGCCTGGGGGAGGTAGGAGAAGGAATCAGTGTTTCATGAACAAAGAGTTTCAATTTTGTAAAGTGAAAAAGTTCCAGAGATTTGTTGCATAATAATGTGAATACATACTTAACACTACTGAACTGTACACTTAAAAATGGTTAAGATGGTGAATTTAATATTGTTTTTTACTATACACAGATAAAAAAAAATTTACGCTGGCAATTCTGATGATAGCCAAGTTTTGAAAACTGGCAATAGCAGATTAACGTATGGATTATATCCTCTCTCCTCTTCCCACCTTACTCTGCCTCTCCACCACTACTGGTTTTAGTATCATGTCAAAACTAGGCTACTTAATTAAGGTGGGACATACAGAAATTTCTTTACCTTCTTGACTCTATTTCCATTTTCTACAGATTGAAAAATTGAAACAGCAATTGAATGAAACAAAGGAAAAAGCCCAAGAGGAGAAGGAAAAATTGGTGAGTATGTATATTGTCCCTTCACTTCCTAGTGGTCAGGTTTCTGGCAAGTTCAGATATTTAAGACACAAGGGAAAAAAGTGAATAGGTCTTCTGAGCAGCTCAGTGACCTTAAAACTCACACACTTGATTGTACAGAAGCTCAAAAATAACATAAAATTATGTTACTGTAGAAAACCATCTGTAGTAGTGGCACTTACTTATCTTGGGTTCTACAGCTTTTCAGTGGACAGAGCCAGGAAATATATAATATATAAAAAATACATTTAAAGATTAAAATATATCATGAGCCCATACTAATACTTTAAATTCAGATGCAGTAGAACAGGATTTTTACTTAACTTTGTCTGTGTCTTCTTTCTCCCTCACCCAAAATCCTAATTCTTAATGATACCAGTATAATTGTGTGTTTTCTTCAAACCTCAATACATAAATAGGCATAGAGCACTAATATTAACACTACTAACAACACAGATTAGTGGATACAGTGTAAGATTTTAGGGGCCACTTCCCCCCTTAGGTTATGTACCAACAGGGATCTACAATCAAATTAACAAGATTTAAAAACCATTTGACACATTTCCTTTCTGTGAGATTATACCACCAACTCAACAACACATTTTGCTTTTGATTTTTAGATGTTGCTTTAAAAAAATTTATTGTGCATGTAAAATCATGTAATTACTTAATTATAATTATGTGAAACATTTATGTGGGTCAAGTCTATCAAACATAGTATATTCTGAGAACTCTAACTTCTGTCTATGTCTTTGCAATATACTATACTGTCAAAATGGATTTTTGTCAACATGATAGGTGAGAAATGGTATTTTAGTGTACTTCAGTTTGCATCTCTCTTACTATGAGCTAGGTTGAGCATTTTTTAAATGAGTTTAAGGGTCAGTTGCATTTCTTTTGATATCTCTTGTTCATTTTTAAATTGTGGTATTGGCCTTTTTTTTCTCTGCTTCCCTCTTTTTTTTTTTCCTCCTTTCCCTCTGCTTCTCTTCCCTTTCTCCTCCTCTTTTTTCTTCTACTCCATCTTCCCCCCTTCCTTCCTCTTTCTCCCACCTTCTTCTTTATTTATTTATTGGAGATATGGGCCCTCCCTTTGTCTTAGTTTACTAATTTTAATTTATGATTAGGGATTTATTTCTTTCCTACAGATTAAAGATTTGTTTAGTCTTCTCATACCTCTTTTTAATAAATACCTGCATTTTCTATGAGAGATCAGCTCATTTTAGAATTTCTTCCTTATTCAAGGCACTTGTTATCTTTTAACAAAAATTAAAACTATATACAAAAATAAAAAGGGAACATTTCTTCAAAGAAGATAGACAAATGGCTTAAGGCTTCATATGGAACAGGACTCTGTGTGACCTCTGTTTTTTTCTTAACTCATTTACCTGTTTTTTTTTCATATACAGGAACAAAAATATACTGTGCAAATAAATGAGCTGGAGGGACAGTTCCATCAAAAAGCCAAAGAAATTGGAATGATTCAGACAGAGCTCAAAACAATAAAACAATTCCAGAAGAGAAAAATCCAAGTGGAGAAAGAATTAGATGATGTAAATTAATTTCTTTCTTTCTTTCTTTCTTTCTTTCTTTCTTTCTTTCTTTCTTTCTTTCTTTCTTTCTTTCTTTCTTTCTTTCTTTCTTTCTTTCTTTCTTTCTTTCTTTCTTTTCTTTTTTAAAGAAGATTAGTATTAACTACTTATGTTTGCAAAAGCCTTCATAGACATTTACCCCTGTTAGATGGTAAAGGATTCCCTTTGACATTTTAGAGATTATTTGAGAGAAAAGGGGAAGATAACATTAGTGCAGGACTGGATGCAGAAATTCTTGATAGTTAGACAACTGTTTCCCCTAAGCATTCATTGATTTCTTTGTGAATTCACCAAATCTTAGCCAACACACCCTCCCACACTTATCAGCAGTTAAACCTTTGAAACTACAGCTGTGGAAAACATTAGGGGCAAAGCAGCAAAGTCCTAAAGGAAAATATGTTTAGACTGATGAATGATAATTTTAGAAAAGTTTAAAAGACACTCTGGGTGGGGGTGGATGGGATGAGGAAAACTGAGTTTTTCAGAAAGTTTCTCTGACCTTGCTATGTTCTTTCCATTCCCTCAGTTCAGAATATAGTTTTACTGCATTAATGACAATGCAATAAATGGCACAGATGAGGGCTGGGCACAAGTAGCTGAAATCAACTTTGTGACTTTGGACAAGTTACTTATCTTCTCTTTATCTAGGTTTCCTCATCAATAAAATGGGGATGATAAAAGCTACTGGTTCATAAGGTTGTTGTAAGATTAAACAGAGCTCATATATGTAAAGTGCTTAAAATAGTGTATGCCACATAGTGAGAATTAACAGTGGTATGTGTCTGTCTACAAAAAAAGGTCCTGATTTGTAGCATTTGCTGATTTCCTTAGTGTAAATACTTATATTATGGCCAATTTCAAGCTACCAATGTTCTAACAATGTGCTAGCAAAATTCTTAGTCTCAGCCAGCTCTGACACAGAACTGAATACTGCTACTATTATTAGTAATAGTGGTGATAGAAGTAGTATTGCCACCTAAGATAACCATACACCATGCAATGTAGGGGTTAAAGCTGGTGCTCTGAAGTCAGACTGCTAGAGCATAAATACTGTCTTCACTACTTGGATAGTTTGTTATGTTTCTCATCTATAACATGGAGGTGAGAATAATAGTACCACCTCTGAAGGGTCATTGTGAAGAATAAATGACATACCGTTTTCCCTTGCTATCTGAAAGTAGAGTGCTCCTATGAAACCCTTCCTAAGCCAAGGAAGCAATTACCTTAGGACACACCTTGCCAACGGATGCACAAAATAAATCTAGGTAAAGCACAGATGCTCACAGAGACAGTTCAAAGCTATGGCAGTTTGATGCTGAGTGTAGTTCCCGGGGGGATGAGCTTGGTGGTGCCACTCTCCTCGCTTCTGAGGGTGCCCACTGCCTCTATAACATGGCTCACTGCTGAACACTATTTTTGCTTTTCACCTTTTTTTCCATAAAAATGAAAATTCTCTTTAGATTATTTTCAATTAGCGAAAACAGGTACTGATGTAGTTTTTTGTGAAACAGAGTGGTGTAAGCGAACTTTCAAAAAATGGGGATACCTGTAGTCTGTTTTAAATGCTTAGCCTTGTGTGATAAATATTACCTTCTACTATTATTACTCCTGCTAATATTATGGTTATTACAATTAGTATTCTTTAAGGCCCTTCCACTGTCCCTTTCAGTGCCTCTCACTCACAGTCACAGCATGTCTTCCAAGCTCACAGTATCTCTCAAGCTCTCCTCTGGCTACCCTGGGCCCTACTTAGCAAGAACAAACTTTGATGGGAAACTAGAGTTCCTGCATCCTATTTCTGTTTACCTTTAGCTAATTGCCAAATTGAAAAAAAAAAAGAATAAGGTATATATGACACAGGGAATCAGCCATATTTTATAACTATAAATGAAGTATAACCTTTAAAAATTGTGAATCTTTATATTGTACACCTTAACTTATGTGATATTGTACATCAATTATACTTCAATTAAAAAAAGAGTGTCTTACTTAGCAACACTTAATGGAGTATAACTGTAAAAATATTGAATCACTATGTTGTACACCTGAAACTAATATAATATTGTAAATCAGCTATACTTCAGTAAAAATAAATAGGAAAAAAAAAGAAAAGAAAAAGAAATGAATAAGGTAGATAATAAGATAATGTAGTGGTTGGGATCATGGACTTCATGTCCTGGCTCTGTAGCTGATAGCTGTGTAGCTTTGGATAGTCTGATACCTTCTCTGAGTCTCAGATTTCTCATTTGTAAAATGTAGCTGTAACACCTGCTATCTCTTAGAGATGTTGTATGGATTAAATAATGTAATGTGTGTAAAATACTTAGCACATTTGCTCCTACTAATGCCTAGTAAGAGTAGTACCATAGTAGTTATTGATGTTTTGATTATTGTTACGATTATATAACTTTTGAAATCTTAATAGAGGACTCTTAAAAACTCTAATTAAAGGAATGACTTGGCACATTTCAGGCAAGGTGGGGATTGGGAAGACACTTTCTTAAACTGGAAGGAATGTGTTTTAACTCTTCTGATCATAATTGCACAGTTATAGCAAAACCTTCCCATGAGGCTGACTTTGTTCACAAGCATGATTACTCATTGCTTTACAACTGTTCTTACAACTGTTTTAACATTATTCTTAATTCCTGTAGCTCACCATTATATAAACAGTATTTTCTGGGGGATTCTTTCTTCCTATGAGTTTTAAGGCCTTTAAAGTCCTCAAAATACTAGTTATGTAACTATCTTCCCTAGTTATTTTTTATTTGTATTGTTATGTAATCTTTGTAAACTAAGAATAGAAAAGAGCCAAATCACCTACTTTGTATGTACTTGTCACTCCTCACTAGTCCCTAGACTAGTATTTAATAATAAAACTTGCTAAATGAGTGATATAAGACAACCATAAAATTAAAACCTCCCATGGAATTTATAGGATCTTAGAGCTGGAAGAAACTTTAGGGCCCATTTAAGCCATTCTACAGATGAGAAAGACAGAGACACAAAGGTGTTAAGTGACTTACATGGAAAGCTGTAGAGCTGGTAGCAAAATCCCAGTGTCCCGAATCCCTGTCCAGTAGCTTTAGTCTTGATCCTTCTAACTACTTTTTCACCTGTATTAGTTACCTATTACTGCAGAACAAATTACCCCCCAATCTACTGGCTTAAAACAATAATAAACATTTGTTAAAAGCACAGTTTCCATGGAATTTGGGAATTCAGGAGTGGTTTAGCTGGCGGTTCTGGCCTAGGGTCTCTCATGAAGTTGCAGTCAAGATATCAGCCAGAGTTGCAGTCACGTACAGGCTTGATTACAGCTTGAGGATCTGCTTCTAAGGTGCCAACTCACATGGCTATCAAGTCGGTGTGATAATTACTTGGAGGCCTCAGCTTCTTCCCACATGGACTTCTTAAGCTGCTTGAGTGTCTTAACAACTTGGTTGTGAAGATGACTTTACCCAGAGTGAGTAGTAATCCAAGAGAAAGCCTGACTGAAGCTATCCTTTTCTTGACCTCGCCTTGGAAATCATATAGCATTACTTCTGTCATATTCTATTAGTTAGAAGTGAATCCCTAAGTCTGACCCACATTCTAAGGGTGGGTTCCATCATTTGAAGGGAGGGCTGTCAAAGAAGATATGGACAGATTTTAAATCCACCACACCACTACAGTCCTAATTACACACTATTGCAGGAATAATCTGAAAATATCAGTTCTGATGATGTTCTGTTCACCTCTCTCAAGAAATGTCTTTATATTTCTCAACAGAATATTGTCCAGACACCTTAGAGTGAAAATCAAGACCCTACGCCTGCTTTGGAATATAGTATTTCCTTTTCCTATACTTTCCCTTACATAACCCCTTTAATCCACCCAATCTGGATACTCCCTGAAGTCTTTTCTGCCTTTCTCATGTTTACACTGTTTCTTCTATCTGGAATATACTCCTGATAGAATGCTGTCCATTAAATTTTACTTTTTCTTCAAAGCCTTGGCACAAATTCATGTTATCCATAAGGATTTCCCCACAGTCCTGTTTAAAAGTAATAATTTTCTTCCTGCTATTTGTGACAACTCAGATGAAACTTAAGGGCATTATACTAAGTGAAATAAGTCAGAGAGAAAAAGACAAATACTGTATGATATAATTTACATGTAGAATCTTAAAAAAACTGAACTCAGAGTGGTGGTTACCTGAGCTGGGGGGAGGGGGGAAATGGGGAAATGTAGGTCAAAGGGTACAAACTTCCAGTTATAAGATTGACAAGTTCTTGGGAATCTATTGTACAGTATGGTGATTATAACTGATAATACTGTATTATATACTTGAAAGTTGCTCAGAGAGTAGCTCTTAAATGTTCTCATCACAAAAAAGAAATGGTAATTTTGTGACATGATGGAAGTGTTAGCTAATGCTACAGTAGTAATCATTTTGCAATATTTAGGTGTATCAAATCAACACACTGTACACAATATCAGATATTAATTAAGCTGGAAAAAAGTGAAAACAATTTTAAAGATTATTAGCAAAAAAAGTAATAATTTTCTTTTTTGTGTATTTCCATAGAATTTAGTATTTCTTTTATACCACTTAGCCCATTCTATCTTGATATTATATTTATAATTTGTCTTATCTCCCCTGCTAGACAGTAAATTCTTTGAAGTATCCACAGTACTGTCCTTTGTATTCATCAAAATACAAATACACAATAATGCTCAATAAATCTTTGTTAAATGCTGAGCAGATCTTTTATTTAAAATGTAATTAAAGGAATATCAAGTTTTCTACTAACTATATGGGGAGAATCCTTTTACAATGTATACATATACCAAATCATCATGATGTACACCTGAAATACACATTTTGCCAGCAATTCCTCAATAAAGCCAGAAAGTTTTCTAGAAAGAATATCTAGTTTTGTTTTATATGAAAATTCTACAGATTGAATCAAGTTAAGTTCCTTAACTTTTCAGGAACTCTCAAAATAGCCATCCTAGGTGTAGGTATACAGTCTGAAAGTGAATTAATAACTAATTATTTCTATTCGGACTTAGTGTGATTTTTTTTTAAAGAACAATGTTGCCACCTAGTGGAGAAATAGATTTCAGACCTTTCAAAGAGGGCTAATGGTCCAGGAAGACTTAAAATGCAAAGGTAAAAGACACCGGCTTTATGGGAAAAAATAAGGTGGTTCTGTAGAATCTCAAATATGGAAGAATTAAGGCCTATGTGGGGCCCATGAACTTGGAAAAAAGGAAGAAAATTTATTATACTGTGCATATAGAATTTATTCAACAAATTGAAAAGAGGCTAATTAAATTTAGATTATCCAAAGGTATTAAAAGCATAAATTCAAAGAAAAAATGATTTCTATCTACCTGGTTAACAGAAGTAGTATACATTGGTAGGTTGCAGTTAGTATTTTTAAAATAAGTTTTTTTAGTCTTTCTTGTTTTGACAAAGTGATAATACACATTTCATCAAATTTAGCCTATAAAGAAGAAAATGAAAAGCCTCCCAACAACTACACCCCCGTGAGGTAACCATGGTTAATATTTTGCTGTATTGTCTTTCCTTTTCTCCCCTCTGCTATGCATAAATATATTTTAAAGTATCTATATGCTATTTTTACAAAAATGAGGTCGTTATGTACAAATTGTTTGTTAACCTGATTTTTTCACTTTATATATTGTGAACACTTTTCAATGCCATTACGTATTTTTCTGTAAAACCTTTTGACTAGATGAATGGAATTCCATTGGGTAGATGTGTCATGACTTATTAATTGGTCCCTTTTTGTTGGACATTTGGACTTTCTAATTTTTTACTACTATAAACTGAGGAACATCTAAGTAACAGAGTATTTTCTCTGTATTTTAATTAGTTTTTAGGATAACTTCTTAGAAGTTATAGTGGAATTTATAGGTTAAATTAGAACATGAACTTTTGAAGTTTTTGATAAGCATTGCATAATTACCTTTCAAAAGATTTATTTATTAATTTATAGATTTTTGAGGGAGCCCAATGGAAAATGAAATGTCCACCACCCCCTACTGGGATGGTAGACTTTTCCATAAATTTGTGTATTGATATTAATTTTAAACATCTTTGACAATGTAAGAGGCCATTTTTTAAAACTGTATAAGAAATACATGGATAAAGAAGATCATCTGAAAGAGCTCATATGATATGGATCAAATGGAGATTTAATACAGTTAGAACAGAGATCACAGTAAGGAAAAGTGTTAAGTACAAGGGAAGGCAATATTAGACATAATAATAACTAACCTTTATGTTACATGGTTACTCTTCTAAGTACTTTACATGTATCACTTGTTATTTAATCCTTGCCACACCCCTGTGAGATAGCTACTATTATTATCCTCTTTTTACACTGGAGAACTGAGACTTGGAGAAGATATTTGCCCAAACAGCTGGTAGCTGAGAGAGGTAATAGTTGAACTCTGGTCTGTCTGATGGAAAGCCCTTCTCTAGTGTCTTATTTGTGGCATGAATGTTAGATTGAGCATGCCTATTTCAGTCTGATCGGTTCTTGCTAGTAGGTATAGCCTTCAGGATCATAGCTTTAATTTTCTTTGCTTAGAAGATTTTTATGTCCTTTTTATTTGATACAGTTTTAGAGGCTAGAAGAATCCATCTGTGAGAATCATGGGGAGATATTTTTTAAATTAATACTAGGAAGAATTTTCTAAAAATGGAAGCTCTTAAAGGGCAGCTTAGTGAATCATTAAGATCTGAATTAGTGATACTTTTCTCATAGAAGAGATTCCTATATTAGGTGGGAGATTTGTATAGTCTGACTCCTAAGTTCCTTTCAATTCTTAATATTATGTTTCTGTGAGTCCACATGTTTAAAATGAAGATATTTGGAAAATATGATTATGATAATAACTTATCTGAATGTTCTAAGAACTGTTATTCAGGAAAACCTTTTAAGAAAGGTTTTCTGATCTCGTAAACCTATAGCCAGTTGTGAGAAATATGGTACTCAGAGGGAGGGACATGGAATTTTCTTGTGTGTTCAGGATTAAGAGGTAATGCACAACAGAAAATATTTCTTGATTGAGAATTTTCTAGGAATATGCTCCAACCTCCGCCCCTTTCCTGTTGACCATTTTTGGTTTTTCTGTTATTTTAATTTTAGCTGAAGGAGGATTTAAGGAACACAGAGCAGAAACATCAGGAGACTCTTAGAAGATTGGAAGGCAAATTTTTTGAAGAAAAGGTACGGCACATTTGCACTAACTGATAAATATTTTGTGTACTAGAACAAAGTGTATTTATCTGTATTCCGAGACATCAACTTTCCATTGTTTTTCTAGTCACTGGTAGAAGTTGGGAAGGAAAAAGGAGGATGGGAATGAGTGCTGGGCTGGCCAGCCACCGTGGTATCTGCCTCTCCATGTTAGGTACAAACTTCATGGTTAGATAGAAATTCCTACTCTGGTTTGAGCCCCAGTGCTGCTGGTCCATGGCAGTGAGCTTTCCAGTAAGCCCTGTTCATTCATCTCATACCTCAGCATATTCCACCTGATTATATAAAGGACTTTCCTCAGGTTACTGGTATTTTGTTTTCCCATGTAACCCTTTCCCACCCGGGTATTTTTGTGCTTGCTCTTCCCTCTTCCTGAAGTGTTCTTCCTCTAGCTCTGGCGTATCCTCATTCTTACTCTTCAGAGCTCAAATGTCATTCCTTCAAAGAGATAGTCCCTAAGCCCCAATCTAAAATTACTTCCCTTGGTTACTATCTCATTTCCCCATTTATTTCATTTATAGACTTATTACAGTCTACTCATTCTCTTACTTGTTTACTTGTTAAGGAGGCTGTATAGCATCAAATTGCCTGCATATGAATCCCTTCTCTGCCATCTACTAGCTATATGATTTTGGGCAAGTCACTAACCTCTTTCCCTCAGTTTCCTCAGGCCTTGTCTTTGGGGATAACAGTAAGTACCTAATTCATAGGTATCTAATTACATTGTTGTGAGAAGTAAATAATACATGTGAAGAACCATGCCTGGCACATAGTAAATGCTCTATACATTTTAATTATTATTATTATTTGGATCTCATCCTAGAATATAAGCTCCATGAGAACAGGAACATTATCTGTTTTATTCACTACAAGATTTCTAGTATCTAAAACATCTGGTACACTATTAGTGCTCAATAGGAATTTATTGAATGAATAAATAAATGATTCTCATCATATTGTATTTAGCAGAAATTTCCAATACTGATGTAGATTTTATTTCTATATATGTCATTTTGCTTCCTTAATGGGGAAACTGGGAGGTACCCTTAGGTTCCTATTTTCACACTATCCTCTTTGCTGGCTCCTCCGCTAGTACATAGAGTACTTCGCCTTGGGTCATGTGGACAGGAGTGTTTTATTTGACATTATAAGATACATACTTAAATTTGATATGTAAAATTTGTGGTTAGAAATGTAACTCTCTATTAAAACAGCCTATTTTTTTTTTAGCACCGTCTAGAACAAGAGGCTGAAAAGAAGATAATAATGCTGGCAGATAGAGCCCACCATGAAGCTGTTGTGTAAGAGATTGCTGCCTCCTTTTTCTTTCTAATAGCCTTTCTTACCTCTTTGCTAGTCTGTTTTGTTCTTATCATGTTGTCTACCCCCTTCTCTCCTGGTTTGATTTCTTCAAGTTTTCTGGTTTACTTTTCTTCACTATTTCTTTCTGTTCATGTCCCACCCCTTTTCCATTCACCCTTTTTGTAGCAGCATGGTGTGGAGGAAGAACCTGGGCTTTGAAGTTACACTTTGGATCTCAACATGTATATGAATTGACTATAGGAAGATTTCTTAACTTTTTTGAAATTAAATTTCTTCATCTAAAAATGGTGTTAATGATAG